TGGTAAGGGCAAAGACCCTGACTTAAGTTAGCTAATAAACTGTCCTATTGCATTTGCATTGGCGTGGGTTGGCGTCTTCTTCTCTTCCGAAATTCTCCTTTACAGCCTGGGCACAACAGTAGAAAGTAGACTTCAGAGAGGTCTCTGTTTACTGACCTGATAAAAGGAGCATGCTGTGGTCTGATAAAAACAAAGAGGCACACGCCCACCAACTGCTCAGAAGCCAGCAGCACATACTTGTTGTCTCTAGAGATTGTCTTCTGAAGTTCCACAGCCCAGAGCTTCTGATTAGTTGTGCTACCATAAAATATTAAAAAGGGAATCTCTTAAAAGATACTGACAATAGCCAATTATATACCTTTATATGCTCAAATTTTGTAAAACTACCAATAGTCACAAAAGCCACAACAACAATGAAATCTTTATGTAGACTGGTGTTTTGTTTCGTTTTCTTTAAAAGCAAAACCCCAAAATGTAGCCAAAAGAATGCTATACTTTAAAATCAAATCTATGACTCCTTGACAATGAAAATATGTATTATATTTCTTGAACCTCTTTCAATCATTAACAGTCGGTCTCTTAATGTACACCCTCCCAATTTTTTTTTTTTTTTAAAGAAATTGGGACATTTATCTTATAGAATGCTCAACAGTTTAGATTTGGCTGATTGTGTCCTCATGGTGTCTTATCTTGTCCCTTTATCCCTCATATTTCTCTTAAACTGGTAGTTTTATATGGAAATCAATGATTAAGAAACAATGTAATTTTTTTTTTTTTTTGAGGGATGATGACAAAAGTATCTCATGGGTGAAGCTGTGTATTTCCTGCTGCATCACAATAGGTAGCATATAATCTTTGTGATGTTCAGGTAGTAGCAGTTTGATCCACTCTTTTGTAAAGTTATCCATTATCCTTCCATCTAAGGTTTTAGCAACTACTGATGATCAGTGCCTAGATCTATTATTTCATTCAAACTAAACTCACTGCCATTGAGTTGCTTCCGACTCATAGCAACCCTCACTGGGTTTCCAAGGCTGTAATCTTTGTGGAAGCAGACTGCCTCATCTTTCTTCTGTAGAGTGGCTGGTAGGTTCAAAACAATGACCTTCTGGTTAGCAGCCAAATGTTTTAACCACTATACCACTAAAGCTCCTATTATTTCATTAAGGGTTGCAAAATGTTAATTTTGTAATTTCATCATTTAATTGGCATTTAAAATATGCTGGAATTCTATAAAGAATTTTCTCTTATCAACTACTCAATTACTTTGAAATACAGTTCATATAAGAAAGGGAAGATAAATCATTGAATTTTTTTTTTATCTGTAACTTCAGAGTAGTTTGTATACAAGGATTTTCAAATGGAAACAAAAAAATTTAAAAATTTTTTATGAACCCAAGAAATTTTATATACCAAGTAAAATTTAAATGAGTGGACAGAATACTCAATGACCATTAACTGCATGCTAGGTAGATTTATATGTTATTTCAACATGTTTAATTCTAACAAACACTCTGAATTATTCTAAATTATTCTAATTTCCATTTAACAGACGACAGTATTCTCATTGCTCAAGGTCACAAAATTGGTTAATTGGTACATCTATCTAATCTATCTAACACTATGCCATACCACATCCAAAATACACATTCAGAACATGGATTCACAACCTAGCTACCAAATTCTACTGCTTTGACTTTGATTTTAAATGAGCATGACAACTTTCTTCCCTTCCTTCAAGTCACTCCTTAAGTCATCTTCTCAATGAACTCTACTGATTCTTCCATTTAAAACTGCAAACACCTTTCCATCTCCACCTACCTGAGCTCCTTTACCTCCATTTATTTTCCATTGCATTCATGATCTTACAACATGCTATATAATTTACTTATTACAGTACTGTTTATTTAATCTGTATCTTTCTACTAGAATATAAAGACCATAAAGGCAAGGAGTTTTGCATGCTTTATTCACTGATGTATCTTCAGCACCTAGAACAACTGCTTAGTAGATACTGGTTGAATAAAAGAATGGATAATCATCCCTTTATTAAAGAACTATGTGATTAAACTCAATTTAGACATATAATTGAACAATCTGTTTGGTAGCAGGAACTCTAAGATTACATTCTATTTTAAGACCTGAATATATATTTTCAGAAAAAATAGTCAAACTGTAATTTGCACAACTGATAACTATACCATATTATCTGGGTCCATAATTTTATTCTGAAAATCTTCAAAATGTCATAAAAGATGGGAAACTGCTCAAACGTAAAAGTAAGCATATTTTATGTTAAAACAATTAGGCTCTTACATTTCAGCCCAACTGTATTTGTAATAAGGCTTCAGAGCAGGAATTCTCAAAGTGTGGTCTGGAGATGCCCCTAAGGGGTTTCTGAAACCCAAGAGACCAAACTATTTTCATAATAATAATAAGGCACTGCTTTCTTTTTTCAATGTGTTCCTTGACAACTGTACTCATGGCACAAAAGAAACAATGAGTAGAAGTGCTGATGTCTTAGCATGAATTTACTCATTAGTTGTCACTTTTTACCACTATGCACTTACAGTATTTAAAAAAAAAATCATTTAAGAATGCCCTTGATGAAGCAGCAACATTATTAACTTTATCAAATCTCAACCCCTCTCAACCTGAGTCATATCTTTTTAAAACTGTTTGATGAATAGGAAATATGCACAAAGCACTTCTGCTGCATACTGAGCACAATGGCTATCTCAGTGTAACACATGTGACAGACTGAGTTGTGAGGTGAACTACCACTTTTTCATGGAAGACAATTTTACTTGAAAGAACTAATGACAGACAAACCATGGTTATTCAGACTTAGGTATTTGGCAAATATTTTTTCAACCAAGACTGGCACTTCAAGGAAAACAACTGACAGTATTTATTTGTGATGATAAAACTCGAGTTTTCAAGCAAAAATTAGTATTCTATGTATCCGCCATTGTAATCTAGCTAGTTTCTCAATACCAAAAGAATTTTCTGATGAGACTGATGATTATATTAATGAATACAATGTTTAGATATTATACAGTAAATTGTATCAAAATGTGAAATATCTATGTAACTCAATAAACTAGTATTTATCAAATCACACAAACATAAAATATAGACTAAAGAATTTTAATGTAATAAAATACAAAAGGGTCATTGATAGATATAGATTCCATATTACAACTAACCTTTAAAAAACTACTTGCTAATTGTTAGTATAGTATCAAAGAAGAAATTATCTAAAAAGACTATTCAAATCTTTGTTTCCAGTTACACATCTTCATATACTTCAACTAAAACAACATGTTATAACAGACTAATCCAAGTACAAGTAAGAATTCAGATGTTCTAGAGATTTGCAAAACTACAAAAACAGTGTCACTCTTCTCACTGTATTTTTTTCTATTGTAGAAACAGTTATTTTTCAAAAAAATGTTATTTATGTTAACATGGAATGGACCTATTATTATTTTTAAATTAATTAAATGTCTTAAAAATGTCTGCTTTAACTTCCAGTATGATGAATATTGACAGATAAAACCACATAAAAATGATCTGTTGAGATTAAAGGGTATAAAGGGGTATTGAGACCAAAAAGTTTGAGAACTGTTATTTTACAGTTTACAATGCATCTTCAAATATATTATCTCAATCTATCTTTCTAACAACTGCTTCATTATCTGTCTTCATCCCTCAACTGGAAATTTTTCCAATGTTTTACCTGGGTGGCTTACCTTGCATTCACAATGTTTCCAGCATTCAACTCTACCATTTCTTCAAAACCAATTGCAAATATATCAGTTGGCTTACTTCTTCTGTCTACAATTAACATACAAGAAAGACATTTTTAAACAAAGATTTAGTCAAATGGCAACCCTCTCAACACAACAAAGATCAATACCAGATCCCTAAAAAGCCAATTAAGTTCAACCAAACTCAAATTAAAAGTAAAAACCCATGAGTAGGACAAAATTACTTTAAATTTCTATCTAGATTCCTACATTTGCTACTTCAAGATTGTTATTTTTTAAGAGCCTGAAGTCCTATCAGAAACCATTCTGAAAGAATTCTTGCAAAATTTACACCAAGGACAGCTGAGAAACAAGCTACTTCTCAAAGGCTGAAATGAATCAAAATTGTGGAATAAGTGGCTGAAAACCCATTTCAAATTAGAGATAACAGTTGAAAGGGATTTTTCACATCCAAATTTGAAAAGCACAGACTTAATCTTTTTGCTATTTCCTAGATGGAGGAAAACTATAAGAAGAGATCAGGGATTAAGACCCATCATTCTGTTCCATCTGTTAGGTCTCTCATAGCTGACAGAGACTCAAAAGAGAGCAGAAGCTGCTTGAAGGATAACCAATCCAAGGGTGTTTCAGGTGTCCCGAATGTTCAGAAATGAGAACAGAAAGAATCTATAATACTATGAACTAATATTGATAAACAAAATAATACAATCATTTATTGATCGCTATTCTGCGCAAGGCCCAAGTATATACATCATCTCATTTAATTACCAAATGCCTTATGAGACATTATTTTTACCCTGATTTTACAGACAGGAAATGAAGGCTTTAAAGAAGCTATGCAACTTGCCCAACTTCACACATGATAACAGTGTAGCACAGTCACCAAAGTGCTTGAGTTCAAATGCTGGTTTTACCACTACTACTAGCAAGGCCTTGGGCAGGTGACTTCTCATTCTGTGTTTCAGTTTCCTCATTTGTAAAATTGGAATAATAATAATGTCTATTACTAACCAGAAGGCTGGTGGTTCAAACCCACGAGCCACTCCTCAGAAGGAAGGTTGGGCAATCTACTTCCGTAGCGATACTGCCTTGGAAACTCAAGGAGGGGTCGCTAGGAGTCAGATCCTACTCCACAGCAGTTGTTGCATACATTTGTATATAACAGGTTTGCTTTAAGAATTAAATGAACACATGCAAAGTACCTTGAACTGTAATATTAGCCATTATTTTATTACTGGGAGCTCTGGTAGCATAATGCCTAAGGCATTTGACTGCTAACCAGAAGGCTGGCATTCAAATCCACCAGCCACGCCTCAGAAGGAAGATAGGGTGATCTACTTCTGTAGTGATACCACCTGGAAAACCCAAGGAGGGGTCACTATGAGTCGGGTCCAACCCGACAGCAGTGAATTTGTTTTTTTTTTTTTTAATTATTACTATAATTACAACTTCAAGTTATGCTCAGTGTAAATCAAGGAAGAAACATTGTAATAAAAATTTGGAAATAAGCTCAGGGTTTAAGATGCGACTGACTAAATATGAAAGAAAAATTTGTATCTCAAACTATTTTTTATATACATCACCCTTGTATATAATATTTGGTAATTGTGTTTTATTTCATGAAGGAATTAAAGTTGACTTAACAAAAAGGAAGACTTCAATTTCATGGTTCTAATCAAAATCTTAATAAAAGCGCCCTTCTTCACTTAATATTTGGTTCTGGCTACCCACCAGCCACTTCTCTGAAGGAAGATTGGGTGATCCACTTCCATACTGATACTGCCGCAGAAACCCAAGGAGGGGTTGCTATGAGTAGGATCCGACTCGACGGCATTGAGTTTGGCTTGATTTTTGTTTATTAATAACTTGGTGGCAGCGTGACAACCAAATCTTTACAAGGATAAGCCAGGACCATTAAAGCTATGAAGTGTCAATAAATGCCAAAAAACATTTTGTAAGATTACTCACAATCCACACCAGTTATTTCTTATCTTAGTAATTAAATCCAAAAATCCACTGCCAGAGTTGAGTCAGACTCACAGTAACCCTTTAAGGCAAAGTAGAAATGCCCATACGTTTTCCAAGGCTGTAAATCTTTACAGAAGCAGACTGTCTCACCTGTCTCCCACGGAGTAGCTGCTGGGTTCAAAATACTAACCTTTTGGTTAGTATCTGAATACTTTACCCAACTGTGCCATCAGAGCTTCTTCGAGTAACTACACAGAGGACCAGATTTTATAAAGAGGACATGCTAGGTGTGAAAAATAAAATGCAAATTATCAATTACAAAATAAGCTTGGTTTCTGTTCATTTAACTGGTTAAGTGGTTAAGTACTCAGCTGCTAACCAAAAGGCTGGCAATTCAAACTTACCAACCATTCTCCAGGAGAAAGATGTTGCAATTTGCTTCCATAAAGATTATAACCTTGGAAACCCTATAGGGAAGTTCTATTCTGTCCTACAGTGTAGCTGGGTCAGAATTGACTCAAAAGCAGCAGGTTTGGTGGTTTTTGGTGTCAATTTAAATGAATAAAAATGGAACTTTTTTTTTTTTTTTCAGTATGTGTGATGCCTTCAAAGTAACCTATTTATGTATGGATCCATTTCCTGAGAACCTGCTATCAAAGAAAAAGATGTTTTATTTTACCAATATGCTTTTCATAAAGTAGAAAATAAAAAACAGAGGCAAAATTTCAACAGATTTGATCTATAAAAATGTTGGGCTTCAACTTAATAAATACAAGTTTTGTTTTGTTTTTTATAAATTAATGCAAATTGTAGCATGCCACACTTGTTTTCTAAACCAAGAAATCAGTCAGAAGTTTATTAATTACATCCGTATTATAAAATGCAAACCTTGAAATTCCTGGATGCCAGCTAACTTGGGTGCATCCAGTAGCCAGTCGGTGAGTGTCTGATTCTTAAAAGCTATGCTGCGAAACTGTTTCCCACCATTCACGTTCCAGGTCCCAACACATACTCGAATTTTCTTCGGCTTTGAATACTTGTAGAAATTCTCGCACATGTTCTTTAGTACTTTAGAAGATGCTATTCAAAAACAAAGCACAACAAAATTTTAGCTACAATGAACCACTTATGAAAATTGGTTTTCATAACTGAGAAAAGATGTCTGAAAAATACAATTACCATAATATACACAAACAAGTGTAAAATACATGCACAAGCAGAAAAGTAATAATCAGCCTTGAATGCAAAGCCCAGCATGATGCAATATACCAACAAAATTAAAATAAAGAAAATCAACCACATTAAACACAATAGGCAAAGTGAAAGAAGCTATTATAAAATTACTGCAACAACATAAAGCATGCAGAATAAACAGTTTTGTTTCAATGAAATGATGCATTATTTTATAATGTATAAAATCTAAATCTGTACGTTTTTAGGAATGTAACAATTGACTTTCATTAGGAGCCTGGTAAAAAAATACAAATTTTATTTCTCCCAAATAAAAATTTAAGAACATTTGTATTTAAGACTCAAGGTATTGGCAAGAAGTTTGATGACTAACGGCCCCCCTGACAAAAATACAAGTTATGGGAGCTAATTAGATGTCTGAAAATGAAGTCACTACTGAATGTTCCCCATCTTGCTCAGAGTAGAAGCCAAAGTCCTTAGTAATGGCTTACAAGCCCTGTAAAATTTACTTGCCTTTTGCCCTTATATACTCCCCTTCTCTGCTCACTCACTGCTTAGCCACTGGCCACCCTGCTATTTCAAACAGATGTCAGGCATGTTCCCGACCACAGGGCCTCTGTACCAGCTGTTCCCATAGCTGGAATACTCTTTTCTTACCTTCACGACTTTACTTTCAAGTGAAACCTTCCCGACTTTACTTTCAAGTGAAACCTTCCCTGGTAACCTTATTTAAAACTGAACTCTGCTCCTAACTTCCCATATCCTCATTTCCTTTTTTTTTTTCTCATTAGCAGTCATTACCACTTACAAGCTACGTATTTTATTTAAGACACTCTGGTGGTGCTGTGCCTAAGGCATTTGACTGCTAACCAAACCCACCAGCCTCTCTATGGAAGGAAGATGGGACAATCTACTTCCATAAAGATTTACTGCCTTAGAAATCCAATGGGGATTGCTATGAGTCAGAACTGACTCAATGGCAGTGAGTTTTTATTTATTTATCGTGTAACTCTCTTCTCCCCTCACAAGAATGTAAGTTCCATGAGGGCAAAAATGTCTTGTTTACTGTAATATCCCAAATGACTAGAAGAGGGCATGACATGCCATAAGTGCTCAATAATCACTAAATGAATGAATAGTCAATACACTTTGAACCCTCAATCTCTCTCTTGAATATTCTTTGACTATATCATTTTTCCCTTTTACACCACACTTCATTATGATTAAGTCAAATTCATGGCACTCAAAGTAGACAGAATTTTAACAGGCTCTCAATCTGAAAGCAGAAATGTGTACTTAATTGGCAGTTAACTGGACAGGGGAAAAGGAAATCAAAATGATTTTCACCTTTCACCCATATGATATTAGCATGATGTTATTTAATATTTTATGATACCAAGATATAGCACTCTTATAAAAATTAAAGGTATGCAGTCAGGTCTAATATAGATGAAAGAACCTCTTTCAATATACCAGGCAGACGTACGGTAACTGATGTGTTGTACAGTTTTCCAAATATACCTGCCTCTACTTTTATGTCATTGTTTAGAGAAGGCAGTAAATTGCAACCATGAAACTGGTAACTGCAAATCTGAAGCCTGATTTATGAAGTACAGCTACATTGTTACTGAAAATTCTAACGTTCTATTAACAGTACACTACTGAAAACACTTAAACAGGGTTAGGCAGATCATTCCAAACTTCAGAAGCAGTACACTAACAAGAACAATAACAATCTTAATAAAAATGCACACATGCTTAAACATCAATTAGCATTTGCATTTGAATTCACAGTCAGATCAAATTTTTTGCAGCATATACCCTAGAGCTCGTGCTCCTTTGGAGATGAATATTCTTGAAGACATTAGATTCATTAGAAACCAGGTTTGCCAAAATTAAAAATACGATCCAGAAGGAATCTTTGTCAATCATTTCCTTTAAGTACAGGAAGAAGTATGCTAACAATTTTCAGCTTCATCTACCCTAGCATGTCCCCAGGGGCTTACGTAAACAGTGGAAATAATAGTGGGTCTTGAAATCATTTCTTGCACTTAAACGAAGACTATTCTGGAATATTTCCACTTTTCTTAAGTTCTTCATAATATTAAGATTTTCTTTCTCTTTACTTATATGGAATCCTGAATAGTTTACAACATTAATATGCTGAGAAAATGGTAAATGAACCAGCAAGATTTCTTCATTACACCAACACTATTCCCGTTTACCAATCACATATGAGCTAACATTAAAGAAGTTTATGCTCCTTTAACAGACCATAAATAATTTTCAGTCATGCCATTTTTTCCTAATTTCAACCAGTATTTTAATCCAAATGTGAATAAAATTCATAGAAATTACATACAAAGAAGATTCCCAATGCAAAATGGCAGGTTCTTCTTGAAATAAAACGTCACAAGGCTGCATTACCTGATAATCTGAAATTCACTCCTAGAGGCAGAAAGGTAGCAAGAGGCACAAGGAAACACACCATGGAGGGCTGCATCCCTCTAGTCTTGCTACCAGAACACCCTTGTACTCCTGGGAGTCACACAATTACATTAAAAGCAAATCCATTTCCTGAAGACGTTTCAAGAGGTTTGACACCGTCAAAACTATTTTCATAACAATATTATGATATTGTTGCCTGCTTCAAGCATCTTTGGGTGGCACAAATGGTTAATTAAGCACTAGACTACTAACCAAAATGTTAGCAATTCGAACTCACTCAGAGGTGCCATGAAAGACAGGTCTGGTGATCTGCTTCTGAAAGGTCACAGGCTTGAAAACCTATGAAGCAATTCTACTCTGCACACATAGGGTCGTCTTGAGTCAGAATCAACTTGACAGCAACTGGTTTAGTTTGGTTTATTTGCCTACTTCATTCTCATTCTCTCACAAGAACAACTTTATTACTGGGATTCTATACCTTGCACATGAGTCTGGAAAACAGCTTCCCCTGCTCTTGTAACTAATACCGTGATGTGGTAGAAACAAGGACTCTGAATCAGAAAATCAGTGCCACTGCTCTAATGGTAGGAGCTCTGGCAGCATAGTGCCTAAGGCACTTGACTGCAAACCAGAAGGTTGGCGGTTCAAACTCACCAGCCACTCCTCAGAAGGAAGGTTGGGTATCATATTTCCGTAGTGATATTGCCTTGGAAACCCAAGGAGGAGTTGCTATGAGTTGGGTCTGATTCAACAGCACAAAACAACAACAACAACGCTAATGGTGAGACCTGGGGTAAATCATTTGACCTCTCTTGATTTTCTCACATTTGCAAACACAAATGACATATGTCCACCTCAGGGAAGTATTGTGAGCCTCAATGAAAAGTGCTTTAAGAACCATAGCATGAAATCTCAGATTCACTGTTGCTCCTACAAGCACTCTGCCATGTCCACTACCCTGCCAATGTTCCTTCTACCTCAAAATTTTCTGTATTTGACCACAGTTTTTCTTTCTAGGTTCCTCCTCCCCTCCCTGATCACAATTTCCAAATCAATTCTCCATATCAATGAGGCTCTTCCTTCATTTACTGAAACCTGACTAAACCCAGTCTGTGAGCCTTTGTATTAGCTTCCTGCTTCAGAAATCTTCTTGCCCTGACCTCAGCCAAGCCCACCAGTTCCCCCTGGCATTGCTCGCTTGCCTACAGAATGGTGTAGGGGAAGGTGCATAACCACATTTCCCGACCATTCATTTTATCCAACTCCAACCTGGCCTTTGCCTTATAGCAATTTTTACTCAACACTGAAACACTACTTAATGTGTTCACCACACTAAATATAAAACATCTCAAGTATCCAATCTTCAATAATCACCTTAAGAATTAATCTCATGAAGATCTGACAAGAAACCCACTCAAATTATTCTAGAACACAGAAAAGGACTGAATCCTTCCAAATTCATCTTATGAAGCAAGCATAACTGATACCAAAACCTGGCAAAAACATCACTAGAAAGGAAAACTAAAGATCAATACTCCTCACGAATATAGATGCAAAAATCTTCAACAAAATTCTAACAAATAGACTCTAACAACATATAAAAAAAATAATACATCATGGCCAAATGGGATTCATACCAGGTATGCAAGGATAGTTCAACATTAGAAAAATAATCACGTAATCACGTATTTCCACATAAGTAAAATAAAGGAAAAGAATCACATGATCATATCAATAGATTCAGAAAGGCATTTGACAAAATCCAACACCCATTCCTGATCAAAACTGTCATAAAAATAAGAATAGAAGGGAAATTCCTCAGTATAATAAAAGGCATATATGCAAAACCAATAGCCAACATTATTCTCAACGGAGAGAGACTGAAACCATGTCCCTTGCAAACAGAAACCAGACAAGGATGCCCTCTATCTCCACTTCTATTCAGCATTTGTATTGGAAATCCTAACCAAGGTAATAAGGAAAAAAAGGGAAATCAAAGGCATCCAACCAGGTAAGGAAGAAGTAAAACTATCCCTATTTGCCGATGATATGATCCCATACACAGAAAACCTAAGAGATTCAACAAAATAACTACTGGAACTTATTGAAAGATTTAGCATAATGGCAGGATACCAGATCAACATACAACAATCATTTGGATTCCTCTACACCAGCAAAGATGTCTCTGAAAAGGAAAGAAGGAAAACAATACTATTTATGATAGCTACCAAAAAGATAAGATACTTGGGACCTAATCTTACCAGGAACACAAAAGACTTATACAAAGAAAACTACAAAACTACTACTTCAAGAAAGAGATATACATAAATGGAAGAATATAATATACTCATGGACAGAAGGACTGAATATTTTGTCAATACTACGCAAAGTAATATATATATTCAATGTAATCCCAATCCAGAGTCCATTAACGTTCTTTAAAGACAGAAAAACCAATCACTAATTTTATATGGAAAGGAAAGAAGCCTCAGATAAGCAAAGCATTACTGAAGAAGAACAACGAAGTAGGAGGTTTCGCACTCCCCTATCAAAAAACCTACTACACAACCACAGTAGTCAAAACAGCCTGGTACTGATACAGTGACAGATACACAGACCAGTGGAACAAAACTGAGAACTTAGAAATAGATCCACTGACCTATGATCAGCTGCTCTTTGACAAAGGGCTGAAATCCATTAAATGGAGAAGAGACAGTCTCTTTCTCACAAGTGGTGCTGGCAAAACCGGTTATTCATTTGCAGAAGAATGAAAAAAGATCCATACCTCACACCATACACAAAAACTAACTCCAGATGGATCAAAATGTGAAACCTAGAACTGTAAAGTTCATCAAAGAAAGAACAGGCAAATTTAGGAGCCTTAATTTATGGCATAAATAGACTATCAATCATAACCCAAGATACACAAACAGCAGAAGATAAACTAGATGAATGGGACCTTCTAAAAATTAAATTCTTACATGCATCAAAAGACTTCTCCAAAAACAGTAAAAAGAGAAACTACAGGATGGAAAAAATATTTGGCAGTGACATATGGGACAAAGGACTTATCTCTAATATTTACAGAAAACTCTCCTAACACCTCAACATAAAAAAGACAAACAATCCAATTAAAAAATGGGAAGAAGACATGAACAGACAGTTCACCAAAGAAGATATTCAGGCAACCAACATGAAGAAATGTTCACAATCATTAGCCATTAGAGAGATGCAAATCAAAACAATGAGGCACCTTCTCACCCCCGCATTAGTAGCAAATATCAACCAGACAGAAAACAAATGCTGGCGAGGATGTGGAGAGATTGAGATTCTCATACATTGCTGATGGGACTGTAAAATGATACAACCACTGTGGAAATCGGTATGGCGATTCCTTAAAAAGTTGGAAACAGAAATACCATTTGATCCAGCAATCCCATTACTAGGTATATATTCTAAAGAAGTGAAAGGCAGAACATGAATAGATACATGCATACCTGTGTTTATCACAGCATTATTTACAATAACAAAGAGATGGAAACAACCTTAAGTGCCCATCAACTGAAGAATGAATTGCTGGTTCAGATGGCATGCATATCCCCACTGTCCCCAGGGACAGACATGTAGATTTCTAACCTTCTTGTAATTTGATTACTTATACAGAGGTGTGAGGTGTTAATGAAAGCAAGTTATTTGTTCTGGCCAGTTAGTGTGGTTAATAGAAGGCTTGATGCACCCCAATAAAACAATCATCTTTATAATTAAAGGCATTGCCACTCTTACTGCTGTAAAAATAAGTTTCTGGAATCCTTTCTATATCAAAACACAAGTTCTTTAATGATTGTTGTTGTTGTTGTTATGTGCTGTCGAGTCAGCCCCGACTCATAACGACCCCTCCTTGGGTTTCCGAGGCAGTATCACCACGGAAGTAGGATTGCCCAAACTTCCTTCCGAGGAGTGGCTGGGGGGTTTGAACTGCTAGCCTTCTGGTTAGCAGTCAAGTGCTTTAGCCACTATGCTACCAGAGCTCCTCTATAATGATTAAACAGCTTAAATAGCCCAGTCAGACAAATAATGAGTTGTGCTAACAAAAACATATTGCCATGTTGTGTGAATAGAAGCAAAGCCAGTTTTAAATGGGATAAAAAAAATTTGAAAAAAATTATTTCTAGTTTCTTCTTAACTGATTGGTGCCTAAATGTGAAGAAAGAAATACTAAGTCTGTTCTCAAACAAAACATGTCCATCCCTAAATACCACATCACTCCAGAAAATGGATTTCAGTACACAGCTCAAAAATAACAACGATAATGCTCCCTTCCTCCACCCTTCTCAAAAAAATAACCTGTAGTTTCTCAAAACAATCAGAGCAGTAACTAAGCAAAACAGATCTTATGTGATGCCAAAACCGAAAGGAAGAAAACATGTCAATTTCACCAAAATTTCTGGCAAAAGTTCTAGTTTTTGTTCCTTTTGCCACAGATTCAGGTTTAAAGATAAGACCATAAACCTTCTGCAGAGAATGAGATATGGGCATCCTATGAATAAGCAGACATGAAAAATAATGACATTTACATCTTACAAGTTTAATTCTTCTAAGTTTAGTAGCAATCTTGGTGTTTTTTAAATTAAAATATATTGCAGATCTATATTATAGAAAATATTTCATCCACCATTGAGAAAAGGAGACAGTGCCTTCTCAATTGTTATATGGGAAAAACATTGCTGGGTAGTCATACATGTCACAGAAAGTATTCTGAAATTAATCCAAAACAGTCACATTTGGGTTTTGTCCATTACAATTAAGAGTAAAGTATAACACTAATGTTTGTTCAGTAAAATATAAATCTGAAACTAAAACTAGGTAAGTTATTTTTAATTGGAATTAAACACCTGCTACAGAAAAGATGGAAAGCATTGCATACTTCCTTCTAAACAGAACAATGCCCTTAATTTTTCACACAAATTTTTTTCTCAGATTGAAATAAGATATTAATATATCCAGTAGAATCTGAGTGCAAACTAAAAAAGTTTCCATTTACATGGGCTTTTGTTTACAATATCAACTTCAGAAAAATAAAGAAAAAGCTGTTTTTACTTGTAGATTGATTTTCTATACTGTACCTGACTGTAATGTCTGTTCAGAAACTATGGATGCATCAAGAAGAAAACAAAGAATCATTAGTAAAACAGGTTACAGTCAAAATCTATCAGAGTTACGACAAAACAGTCTAAGATGGTCTCACTTATTTCTTTTAAGTCAATCTGATGACTTTATTTTTTCTGGTAGCTATAAAACACAAAAAATTGAAAAACAAATGATAATAACTGATGTAAGTCTTCTGTATCTAGGAAAAATCCTAAAGTGACACAGTGATGTCTACTGATTCTGACGGGTCTATCCCAGTTTCAGACAGTCTAATGTGACTTCTAGCCTTGCTCTTCAGTCTGCTCCTGAGTGCATGCATATGTGTATGTGTACGTGCGTTCACATACAAGCATGCTCACACATATGTGCAGTCACATGTGCAAATAAATATGTGTGAATGAGAAAGAAAAAAGGCTGAAGGATATGGAAGATATTGCTCTAACATACACCTTTTAGGATTTTTTTCTAGGACTCACCAGCTGATAAGTACAATCAGTTCTGCTATAACAAGACATGTGTGTTAAAAATCACTACACTATGCAAAACCGCGCAAAGTGTCACAGGTACAGATGGGCTTCATGGGAAAAATGGGATTAAAGTACAACACTCAAAAACTTTTACAGTGACATGCCATAAAAGATAGGAAACTAATAAAAAAACAGTAGCACAGTTTTATACATATTAAATGGTTAAGAAATGCAATAAACATGAATACAATAAACATGGCACTTTATCTTGAGGAAGACCTGAAGCTTGCTTATAGAGACAGGCTTTGTAAAGTTTGTATTTCATGAATGATGTAAGAAGGGTTCCCTGAAATTAGACAGAAAGCTGTAACAACAGATATAGAAGGGTACAGCTCATAACACACATGATGGACAACGGTTAGATGTGTGAGGTGTGTGCATATATGTGCATGTGTTTTGTGTCTTCCTATCCAATTCCGTTCTTCCGGGTGCAGTTTTTGGGGTTTACCTAATGCTTTTTTTGCCAGTGAAATCACATATAAGGTAATATGAAATTTGCCTTTTGTTCAAATTGTTCCTTAATATATCAATCAGTTAGGATTCCCATTTTCAGAATAAGTGTTATAGCAGAACTGACTATACTTTTCTTTAAGGCGTATTTTACAAATAATAAAATGTTCAAGATCTAAAGTAATGAATCATCAGGCTTGGAGATTACTCAGCTTCCTTGCTTTTCTTTTTCTTTCCTTCAACTGCTCACTTTTCAATTATTGCTTATTAATGCCTCATCATAGAGCCGTGGTGGCACAGTGGTTAAACACTCAGTTGCTAACCAAAAAGTAAGCCATTTGAAGCCATCAGCTGCTCTGTGGGAGAAAGACATGGCAGTCTTCTTCCCTAAAGACCACAGTCTTGGAAACCCTATGGGGGGCAGGTAGCATAGTGGCTAAGGCACTTTACTGCTAACCAGAAAGCTGGCAGTTCAAACCCACCAGCCACTCCTTGGAAGGAAGATGGGGCAATCTACTTCCGTAGTGATATTGCCTCGGAAACCCAAGGAGGGGTCGCTATGAGTTGGGTCCAATTTGACAGCACATAACAACAACAACATAGGATTGCTATGAGTTGTACTTGAATTGATAGCAATGGCTTTAATGACTCTGTATCAGGTAGACAAAGGTGACAGAACACTTTAGTCAGAACTTTACTGTTGGAAGCATGGTAAAAAGGCTGCAGTTCAAAGTGGTAGCTAAGATCAGATTTTTTTTTTAAACAGTTTTAGTAGGTGTCAGTCCCCCTAGCCCAACTATATATCCCTGAAGAGCTAAGTGTAATTAACAACCTTCAGAGCACCATGAGGAATTCTGAAAGAGTCCATGACAACAATTTGAACAAGCAATTACCCAGTAGTCATTAACTGATAGACAGTTTGCTCATACTTGAAAATGGAACGTGAAAAGTTGGTTTTGAACCTTCTGAATAGAAGAAACAAAAATGTTCAGATGCTGAAAGGTTAAAACGAAAGGAAAAAAAATAGAGGGGGATTAAGGAGTCTAATTTATCAAGTTTTACATTGAGTTTTCCCATGATACTATTTACCTGTTCTCACTGACATCAGAAGCTCAAATTCTTCTGACTTTAACAATAAATATATAGTAAAGGACAAAAAGCTATCCTAAAAGCTATAATATTTATGTGAAATAGTAAAACTGGCAATAGCAGTTAGTGTTCATTAGTAAACAATATTTTAAATTATTAATTAATAATTTAATATGTTTTCAAAAAATTATAATTAAAAACCATGTTGTAGTAACTGTTGGGTATTGATTAAAAAAATAATCAATATAGATATTAGATATTTCAGTAAGGCATTATTCTAATTTGGTTATTGAATGCCCTTTTAAAAGTACTAGCTGAGTATTTTATGAATTCCTGCCTTGTGTAAAGTCAGTTACTACTTATACCATTTACCACTCTCAATCATAATCTATAAAAGAAAATGTCTGGCCTTCAGTTTATGGCTTAATAATACCATTAATAGTATAAACATTTTAAGAGACAAACTTCCTTTAGACAAAGCAATTTTTTAAAAAGTAATCTTTATAGAAATTCTTTTCCAAAACTATTTTCATCAACTCTCAAAAATATAAAAAGTATTCATGTAAACAAGTTTACATTTACCTCTTAAACTTTTATAATGAATATAAATAACATAAATTAAATAAAACATAAAGTAAGTACACGTACCACGCAAACTTCCAGTAGTTAAGAGTGCGCGAGCTTTGTCAGCTAAATCACTATTCAGAGTGTTTCCCAGAAGCAAAACATCAATGGCCTCTTGCTTGGAGCTGTCAAAAAAGTTGTTCTGAATTGTTCTGGTAACAGAACGAGCACCATCTTTTAACTTTCCAGCCTGTTGGGATAGAAAGAACAGGGGCTTTCATTCTCAATATTGTTGGCTTTACTCAACAGATGTTTTTAAACTTTAAATCAGTTTTATAAAATTTTACTGTAAAAAAGGACTTAATCATTCTATTTTGAATATTTCATCATCACATTAAAATGCCTCAAGATGCTATTGTTTATTTTCCTCTGCCCAGAGATAAAATATCAGCTCAGTGCCACAACCGCATCCAATAATGGTATCTACGGTAGAAAATATTTAAATTGCTTATTATAAAGAAAATAAACTAAAGAAGACTTATTTAAAAACAAAAAAGTTAACTACATCTTTACATTTAGACTTAAGGATGAAGTTGAAAGGAAGAGGCAGAGGAGATAAAGGAGGACAGTGCATATACATGCTCTTTGAAAAACTCAATTACAGAAAACAATAATTTTAATTGACACCAAATATATTACCTAAAACTAAAACTGAACATAACAAAGGTCTAATGTAAAAAGAAATTTATAATTATAGCTCTAAATATTATACGCAAACTACAATTTGTATATTTTAAGGAATTATAGTGCCTATAGGGAGCTCTGGTAGCATAGTGCCAAAGGCACTTGACTGCTAACCAGAAGGCTGGTGGTTCAAACCCAACAGCCACTCCTTGGAAGGCAGGTTGGGCAATCTACTTCCATAGTGATACTGCCCCGGCAACCCAAGGAGGGGTCACTATGAGTCAGGTCCAACTCAATGGCACGTAACAACAACATGTAAATATAAGTAATAAAAGTAATAAATTTATGTCAACTATTACAGTGAAACACTTGACTATAATTCTTAATGAACATATACATATTTTACTTGGGCATGTTGGTTACCATAAAGATTTATTTTGATTTCACAAATTTTCATGGTTTTCATTTTTCAATTGCCTTTTAGAAAATTACTTTACAAGGTAATTTTTATTCCTTAAAAAAATAACAGTAATTAGAGGCCTCTTTTTAGAATAAAAAGGAGCCTCTGTGGTACAGTGCTAAAGCACTTGGCTGCTAACTGAAAGGTCAGCAATTCAAACCCACCAGCTGCTCTGAAGGAGAAAGATGAGTCAGTCTGCTTCAATAAAGATACAAAGCCTTTGAAACCCTAGGGGGCAGTTCTATTCTGTCTTATAGGGTCATTATGAGTCAGAAATGACTTGATAGCAATGGGTTTGGTTTTCAGTATAAAGAGACAAATTTCCAAATGTCATTAAATGGAGACCTCATATGTAATCAACTATTTAAATCTGGCAATAAAATATTATTTCTTTCTATATGATAAGATACACAAATGACTATTTGAAAAGAACTCACCATTCACATTATCAGGCAATTAATCAAAAGGAACCCAGAGAAAGGAAAAGAAAGAGCAGTTGAGATGTTAGACTTAGTTCAATTCAGACTATCATATTTAATGTATAAATATTTCGTATCTATATATTAAATTAAAAGCAAGAGACCACTGAAAGTATCTAACCTCTGTACATACATCATCTTTGGTCAATGCAGAAATGAAAAGATGGAAGAATACAAAAGAATATTTTTAAGAAATAGTTAGCAAGTATCAAGAATCACGTTCTCTATTTAAAAGAAGTAAGTAGGTTATCAATAACAGGGACTATTTCAGAAATAAATATTTATAAATGACAATTTCAAATTATCTCTATGAGTTGAACACAAGGAACTTTGCGGGTAAGGCCAGTATCTCTGAGCACTGGTACGGGACTCAGAGAAGCTTGAGACATAGCAAAGAAGAATGATTTGTAAATTAAAAAATGACATACAGGTTATGTGTGCTCTTTAAACAATTTTAGATGCTATACTGAAGAGGAGGAGCTCTGGTAGCATAGTGCTGAAGGCACTTGACCCGTTAACCAGAAGGCTGGCGGTTCAAACCCCCTAGCCAGCCACTCCTCGGAAGGAAAACTGGGCAACCTACTTCTGTAGTGATACTGCCCGACTCGATGGCACATAATAACAACAACAACATACTAAAGAGGATGAATGAAAACTATAAAGTAATAAATGTTCTTGTTTTTATTCCTGAGGTACTTCGAGGTGTTATATAACTTTAAATTGTTAATAAATTCAATTGAGATAAAAAGTCCTTTAAAACTTAAATGGTATTTAAGAAAGCATTTTTCCAAAATCCCTCAATATAGGTCAAATATTAATGGGGAAAGTAACCTGTAGACAATAATAGCAACTAAAAAGTAGTAACAAGGCAGAGGTGTTATAATTAAGTCCACATCTCACACTTCTTTGCACATTTCTATGCCTCCTTTTCCAGACAACATAATTAAAAGAAAAACTTAACTAAGCTCTAACAATCTTGGATTCATAATAAATGTTTCATAAACTGTCAATTCATTTATTCATTCATCAAGCATTTGTCACAGCAAGTACTAGGTTAAGTGCTGGGAACACAAGTCAAATGAAATAGAACTCTTTATCTGGACATCTATGATTTTTTTTTTAAGCCACATTTATAAAGAAAATAAACCATATAAAAAGTGAAACAGATATGCAAGGGAAATATACGAAAAAAAAGTAAGCTATACATATATAGACCCAGTGACTGACCACGAAATGACTAAATACGTCAGACTTACATACCCCCTAAACCTAGGTAGAGCTATCTTCCATTTAATCATTTGATCTACGATAGAAGGAAGCGTTAAACAGGATATAAAAGAATAATAAAACAGAATTCTAAAACAGGTTCTTCAAAAAAATGATAAAAATTAAAAGCTTTTTTAAGAAGAAAAAGAAGATCTCTTGCAATGTTATGAAAGATCTAGATCTACCTTCGCCTTCCCTTCAAGCGCTCCAGTTCCTGCATATATCTTACTGATCGAATCACCATTCACAGACCACATTGACCGAAAGACTTCTTGAAAGCGGGTCACCAGCTGAGGCTTTTCAGCTAAGCCAAGGGCTTCCAACTGCTTAGCTAGCATCTGAAACAGCAAAACAGAAACTTGTATAAGTATTTTAATACACTAATTGTTATGTGACTTTTAGGAACTACCAGAATTAAATAAAAATTTTTATTTATAGGACTATGTGGGATTGGAGGAGCTCTGGTAGCATAGTGCCTAAGGCACCTGATTGCTAACCAGAAGGCTGCGGTTAAAAACCCACCAGCTACTCCTTGGAAGGAAGATTGGGCAATCTACTTCTGTAGTGATAACGCCTCAAAAATTTTTATTTATAGGACTATGTGGGATTGGAGGAGCTCTGGTAGCATAGTGCCTAAGGCACTTGATTGCTAACCAGAAGGCTGCGGTTCAAACCCACCAGCTACTCCTTGGAAGGAAGGTTGGGCAATCTACTTCTGTAGTGATAATGCCTCGGAAACCCAAGGAGGGGTTGCTATGAGTCGGGTCCGACTTGACGGCACATAATAATAGTAACAATGTGGGATTGGATTTTCAAAATATAACCACTTACTAGATTAACTTTATTTCCCACCATTTCAAATTTTAAAGTACATATAACATCAATTAAACTTAAAAGTAAATTAATATTTCCTTGGATTAGTAAGAACTTCTTTCTGGGTAACTGAAAAAATTAATCTTATGAAAATATTCCTGTAAATGTTGACACGAACAGACATATGCACACCCATGTTCATCGCAGCACAATTCACTATAGCAAAGAGATGGAAACAACCTAAATGCCCATCAACAGATGAATTGGATAACCAAACTATGTATGGTACATTCACACAATGGAATACTGTGCAACATTAAAGAATAATGGAGAATACATTAATCATCTCAAAATACAGATGAATTTGGAAGACATTATGCTGAGTGAAAAAGTCAGTCACACAAGGACAAATATTGTATGAACCCATTATTGTAAAAAGTCAAGGAAAGGTTTACTCAGGGAAGGAAATTCACTTTGTTGGTTACTGGGGATGGGAGGGAAGGAGAAGGAAAATTTCAGACTACTTGGGAGTCACATGTTGATTTGGGTAAGGGGAGATATAGTATGGAAAGAGTCTGTAAACAGCATAATGACATTGGGGAAAAGAAGGACACTGAAATGTGCATGTAAGATACAGATAACAGAAGCAAATACCATTACATGCACAATACTACATGCACAATACTGCATTACCACTAACACCAAACACCAGGTTACAGATAAATGCATACACAGGTGAGATCAGGTGGGGGTAGGCGAACAGAAATATACCCTAGACCAAGGAAATATTTGGCTTAAGATAATCTTACATATGCACTTTGCTACAAAAGTAGCCACATACATCACAGAAGCAACAGAAGACAGAATTGGAGTAACTTCTCAGAGACAACCAAACACTGAGAGAGAGAAATCACTGGGCCTGCGGACTTGGGACCATAGTCTCGGAGGACATCATGCTCAATTGGCACAAAACAGTACATAAAAATCTTGTTCTAATCCAAAAATCAGTTGGATTCCTCTACACCAGCAAAGAGATTGCTGAAAAAGAAATAAGAAAATCAATACCGTTCTCAATAGCTACCAAAAAAAT